ATGTTAGATCTAGATGTACTAGCGACTTAATCTAGGAAGTGTAATCTAGCACCATTAATTATATTTAAGTTTTCTCATTCTATCAAAATCTTTAATATTAGATATAGCCTTTGAGTTGCTAGGCTTATATTATGTTATGATTATACCCTTCTCCACAGTGTGTGTAATTTTCATTCTAGCAATTTCGTGTAGTTAAATTTTTCGAGTTTTCAAATGTGATTTAGCAACTGCCAGTAATTTATATAGTCATGCTTATGAGCATTTACCAGCATATACACTCATCTACATTGATTTTCTTACTGTTGTGTCACATTAATTAACATGAGTATGAGTGGTCTAAATAATGACAGTTAAAGTAAACCGGGTCCACGTGTGCCTAACTAGTCCTGAGTTGCAACTATAATTGTATAATTTAAATATAATTTGTGGTTAGGAACTTAGGAAAATAGAATGCTTCCTTTCATCTGACAATTTGCATGTTGCAACTGAATAGTGTAGTCAGTATTTATTAATTTATTCTCTTCGCCCATTATGTCGAAAAAAGAAAGTGGGGCACAGGGACGTAAAAGATGTGCACAAATTGCAGCTTCAATGGTGGAGTCCAGCAAATTGATGAGTGCTTTCCTTGCTGGAAGTGATGACACCAGTAACCCAGCATCTGTTCCTTTTGATGGCAGCAAAGAGGTCAAAGTGCAATATTGTGAACATGCTATTTCATTTGAAAAAGAAAACAATGAAGAAACTGTTCTCTGTCCTGTTGAAAGCTACAATAATAATAAGGATTCCACCTTGTCAGAAACAAATCCACAGAATAGTGTTGTTAAGCTAAAAGGGGATGACCTAATAAATATTTTAACACACAGGGATGTTGGTTTTATGAAGTTTGATACAACAGGCTCAGCAGTTGTAAAACATGCACATCGCACAGAGATTGTTAAAGTTGGAGCACATGAATTTCAACATAAAAAAGGTCCATTTGATGACAAAGATGGGCATTCTATGACTGCATTTTGGTTCAAACGACGCCTTCTGAATGGACATGAGGTCAATCGTTCCTGGTTGGTGTATTCACCACTACATAAAGCAGCATACTGATTTTGTTGTCTT